CTGGATCGCACGCGCGCGGATAAAATAATTTTTTTTTTTTTTTTTTGCGGTTTAAATATTGTTATCGTCTTTAGTGTGCTCATCCATACCTCTGCTCATGATAAATTCGTGCCTTAGATTTCCCTCGGGGTAAAACACGCCGCTTTTGTTGTGGCATGTACTCGTTGCTTCAGCGTGCGTTTTTTTTTTTTTTTTTTTTTATTTTCGGTTCTTATATTAAAGTTTTGCACATGTTCAACACCTAATCTCCACAAAAAAAAAAAAAAAAAAAAAAAAGAAATGGAGATAGGAGTTTAGCTGGATGAGTAATAATATCTGGCATTTCTCTGTGAAGATTGAATTCGTTGCATTTATATTGCCACATTTATATACTTAACTTTAGAATGTTATTTATGATATGCTAAATTATAGTATGGTAGGCTATGCATAGAAAAAGGTATACCTTTCTATTTTCCTTTGTGCGTGTGTTTTTATATTTGTGTTAGGTAGTTTGTAGTGTTTCTGTTTCGGTGTATACCAGGCAGTATTCTCGATCCCAGGCAGCAAATAAATTTTACTATTATAATATTATTGATAATAATTTATAATTATTTATTGACACAACAGTGACTACGAAGTTAGTTGCGCTGGCCGGCATGACATACTAATGCAGCACACAGTCATACATCAGATGCTCAATAAAAGTGAGATAAAACCTCGATAAAAGTCTCGTTGTAAGCAATACCAGACTTATGATCATCATAATAATAATTGCTCTCCTCCTTGACTGTGTCTTCTTCTCCTCTCGACCATCCCGACGAACGGTGCCGAGAGGGTCCAGAAGAGACAAAGCTTCCGAGTTCCCGCTTTCCTCCCCCACACAGCATTTCCGGGGTCTTTGCAACTAAGTTCCCGTTCCCACCCCTTTCGTCACCACCGTGCGGCTGCGCAAGCACCGGCGGCACGGCGCCGCACGGCCATGGGCGGCGGTGGCCCCGTGCCCGTGTGTCCGCGCGTTCTCGCCGTGTCGGGGTTGACCGGGTCGCGTCCCTCGCGATCTGGAGCAGCCCAGGTCCCCTCGAGGCCGCCCGGGCGGCCAAGTGGGGCGCCCTCAAAGGCGGACCCGGCTGCCGAGCAGCGAGTCCAGAAGGACAACGACCGGCGGCGCCATTGTCCGATCTGGAACGACCGGAAGAGGAGAAAGCGGCCCCCGCCGCCCTTGACCGAGAGCCCCACTGACATTGAACTAGTTCGCGCGCACGGCTGGCTCCGACCGCCGCCGCTGCCTTCGCGGAACCCCCGTCCCCCCGTCCTCCGAGGTGCGCGCGCGGTCGTCACCCGGCCGGCAGAAGAGGCCAAGCGGTCGCAGCTGCTTCTACTTTCAGATTGCGAGCGACGCAGTGGAAGGCCAGTCTGGCTGTCGACCGCGTTGCTGCGAGCGTGGGCAGATTCTTTCCCGAACGATACGAGTTTCGAGCACTCGATCTGGTCATTTGATAGACACCTGCGGCTCTCGTGCTCTCGAATATCTCCCGATTTGTTATGGTTCGGAGACATATGGGACCTAAGCTTTGAACTCTAGCCCTAGCCTGAACCGGAAGTTTTGAATAAAATTGGCAGACAGTAGGACAAAGAATCAGCTAGTGATCACGCTCATATTGTCCGTGATACCATATTTCGAAACAAGCACTCGCCGTCCGCGCCGTTCGGACTATCCCACTTGTGTCCAGGGGACACAGTGAACATGGTGAAACGGTGAAACACGTAATTGAGCTGGAGGTTTAGTATTCCGGTACCTAGCTCATAGGCATGCTCTGGTTAGTGGATCGTTCCGGTGGGCTCGTACAACTATCTACTCCGGCTGCAGGAGTCATAGAAGACAATGACCCCGGTAAATCCCTCTCCCCCATCTCCCCCCCCCCCCCCCCCCCCCCACACACAAAAAAAAAAAGAAAAAAAAAGAGAAAAGGTCCGCTTTATTATTATTATTTAAGATCTCAGCTTTCAAAAACCACGCTGTAGTCTTCCCCATGTAGTCTTTTACTCTCATATCTCGTTGTCGCATCGCATGCCACCTGTTGTCAAACTCACAGTGAGTGTATGACGGCGAATCGTAAATGTCAAGACTCCGAGAAAAGGCAAACGCCTGCGGGATGACATGCAGTACCCAGTAAGTTCAGCATCCTGCCCGCAGTTGGAATTTTTGAAAAAAAGTTCCAGAGTGGCTTGATTACTGGGCCAGCCATGATGCGGAACGTTTCACACCAGAAACGCACATGGCTCTCGGCCACACAGGACATGCTCTGCGTGAAATTTCTCTGTACTGTTTGCAGGAGCTGGGGTTCAAATATGTACTGCTTGGAAAATTTCAGATCGATTCGCTTGAAGAAAGTTCGGAAAGTACCGCCAGCTCAGCGGTTCCCAGTACCATGTCTCGGTTCAACGGATTTATGAATCTGAGAACAAACTAAGGCTGCAGAAAGTACAGGGTGTCACAAAAGAAAATTTACACGGTCTTTTTTACCGCAAGAATAAACTAAGCATCGCCGAACGCTCATTCTCCGCCCAAAGGTAGAGCTAGAGGTCACAACCAGATGCCAAAGTTTCAGCCCGATCCGATAACTTAATCAAAAGTTTTAAGTGATTTTCTGAAAATTTCAATGGGAAAATGGAGCCCATTTCTGCTCGTTTTCGGTTTCTGGTGCCATAGAGCCCCATGTGTTTGAAAACACCGTCGGCCGCCATTTTCCCATTGAAATTTTCAGAAAATCACTTGTAACTTTTGATTAACTTATCGGATCGGGCTGAAACTTTGGCATCTGGTTGTGACCTCTAGCGCTACCTTTGGGCGTAGAATGAGCGTTCGGCGATGCCTAGTTTATTTTTGCGGTAAAAAAGACCGTGTAAATTTTCTTTTGTGACACCCTGTACTAGACCTTCCCAACTTGGAGGTCATGGCAGCACCCATGTCGAAAATCACTGCTGATTCAGTTCACGAGCAGTTCAGTTTCGAATTGAGGTTACAAATGCAGACATAGAGAGGAAAGCTTCAAGGATGTCGGCTCTGACGTACGTTGCAGGATACTGTGCACATGTTGCATTGAAGAAGCTGATGTGTGCATTTTGCAAAGAAACCTTTGTGTTGGAACACGCAGATTTGGACCACGACGAAAACATACTCATTGCATGACAAGGGGAGGCTTGAAATTCCCTCAAGCAGTTGTAGTGAACGCAGTGCTCTTCACTGAAATTGTCCTTGACTAGCTGAGAAGCAAGCAGTATGCTTCCCAATTTCTTGCTCTGACCAACCAGAACGAGGCACTCTGTCTCGTGCTCTCAGTAATTTTGAGCCTCTCGACTACTGCGACTCGGGTCATTCCTTACAGGAGCTCATGCATCATATATTGAGTGCAGCGGCAAATACATTGCTGAACAATCTGTGCAAAACGGTAAACAACCAACTAAGGATTCCGAAAGGAAAGCGGAAGCTGCAGTCAGCAAATGACAAACAGACTAATCCAAAAGAAACCCGAAAGCTGCAAACTCTGCAGAAATGTGTGTGTGTGTGTGTAAGACGTTTAATGGAAAGAAAAAAAAAAAAAAGAAAAAGAGAAGTGGTTGCACTTGCGCGTGACTTCTTTCTCGGGACTTTCCCCTTAGAAAGCCCCCCTTCTAAATGTCCTGACTTAGGTTGCTCGACATCGTATAATCGAGCAGTGTCCGTAAGATTCGGAAATAAAAACCATTTCGATTGCGTAAAGGTAATTCTATCACGCTGGCAGAATTGCGTAAGTGCATTATCCATCTTGTGCGATATTGTACTGCATTCCTTTTTTTTTTTTTTTCATTTTTGTCATATTTTGTAATAAATCACTTGTTTTTGAAAACTGGTGTCAATACCTTCCTGGCCTTTCCTCCTCTGTATTGCCAATCTGCTATGCATTTCGCTTTTCTTTGAGTGCAAGGTATCGCCACTCTAGGGGCCAGATAAATATTTTGCAGAAGGGATCACACCAGAAGCGATTTTTCTACAGGTACTGCGGCGATTTGACTATAGTGTTCATAACATCTATTGCGGTGCACAGGCATTTATGTAGAAACGAAGCAAAAAAAAAAAAAAAAAAAGCTACCGGTATTTTTTTGTTTCGAAAAACTTATTTTCTAGGCGTAGTCCTAATCGTTATTGTCCTTACGCGACCTAAGCGATGGTATCAGCGGCCTTCGGTAACCAGCGCGTCGCAAACCTTCCGAGCGCGCGAGGTGAAGCCGCCCTTCAGGCTCATCCTGCATGCGTGACGTCACGGAAGCGCGCGGAGGCCTTGAGTCAGTCTCGGTGGTGGCGTTTGAGCGCGTGCTGAGAAAGTTTTACGAGCCGACTTCGGCGCCGAGTGGCCAGACCGTTGGCGACTAAAAAAAATAACATTGACAAAAATAAAACAGAAAAAGAGAACTTGCGCTTTCCGGCGCGCAAGATGGACCGCACACGATGCTACAGAAAATAGCTTTGAGAGCGCGCGCTGTCTCCGCGCCCGACCACGTGCTATGTTCTCCGCGCTACCCCACGCCAGATTGGTTGCGCTGGCTCGTGTCATTCACTACGGCCCATCTCAACGGCGTAGAGGAGCAGGCGCATATTTGCGCACGTTCGGCTTTGCAGCAAAAGGCCCGTGTCTCACCGTATGCTGGTGGTTTTTCTGCCGTGCTGCCGTGCAATGTGAGCCCGCGCGCATCCGCTCGGGACAAATTATCCGATGCGGAGTCTTCCCGAGTTCGAACTATCGAAAATTTCCTCCCATAAATGTATGGGCGCTCGCCGGGACTTTTGAACACGATCGAATTAAACGAAAATTCGAATTAACCGAGGTCGAACTAACGAAAGTTTACTGTATTGAGAAAACTTTAGGACCATGACTTTAGGAAAACTTTAGGAGCATGAATAGTACAAAAAAGCACTAGGGCTATTCATATGTTGGCCATAATGCCTTTAACTTGAAAAGAAAAACACAATCCAAAACTTTATGTCGGTTGTTTTTAATTTTATTTCCTTACAGGTTAGGCAGTGGAACACGTGGGTTGTGCGGTTACTGCACACCGCTTTTATACGACGCAAAGTGCCACAGCACTTAGTTGTTTGCAACAAAGATGGCGTCGGAAGGAAGGTTGGTGACGCATCCGACAGATGGCGGGCAAATTTGTACAAGGTCTATTATGTGAATATCTCGTAAGCTCCTTGCCCTGCAGCATCCACGACACGACACTGGAGAGAGGGCAGCGCAGTGTGTGTCCTGCCCTTGCCCGCTCGTCTGCATATTTTCCATCGCCTCCGTTGTGTGGAGCCGGCTCTCGGAGCCAGTTCCTTTCCCGCATGCTTTGCAAAAGGTCTACCTAGTTTTATCTTCGTAATGCCATTTCCTCAAACACGAGTTTTGGAATAGTGTATGCATAGGAATAGTGTCATCGCAACCATGCATGTGCCTAGCCCAAACCGAGCTTTGGACTGGTGCAGGGCAAAGACGCTATTTCTTTGCATATGCTATTCTAAAACTCACTATAATTTCACTGTCCCCACTGCTAACGTCACATTCACAGTCCTAAATTCTTGCGATGCATGAGTTATTAATGTGGGCCGAAAAATGAGGTTTCAGTTCCTTTGTCGGACCCTACGCTTCGAACGACACTAGAGTGGAACCTGCAATACTTCTAGGGTTACACCTTTGACGATGTCTTTCGCATGCAGCATTCTTAGATTTTCAAGGGCAGGTACGTATTCAAAAGAGGCATAATTGAGAAGCCCGTCAAAGCTCTCTTGCACAATGTTCCAACACAGCCTCAACACAGATTGGGCTAAAAATGCCACGTGTCAACAGGAGAGAGATGGGTCTGACCAGCTTGCACAAGCCCCGTCTGGACTGCCTCCAATGGCTCGATCGGGATCGGCCTGAACTGAGCCAAATCGACTCGAACCAGCATGACAGGGACTGTCTTCGTCTGGGGCGACTCTACCCAAATATGCCAGGCTCGGGTCGGCTTGCGTGGCGTCGGCACAATCCCAACTGGCTCGCCCGAAGCCAGCTTGACTCTCTGCAGCTTGCGCAAATTCGGGTTGACTCGTGTCGGCTCGACTAAGCACGGCAGGATCAGTCTGGCCGAGGCCGTTGTGGTTCGGACTGCTCTGGCTTGGATCGGCTTGGCTCTGGCCGAGGCCGTTGTGGTTCAAACTGTTTTGGCTCCCACTGGTCTGGCTTGGATCGGCTTGGCTGGTAGAGGACCCCTGCAACTGACTCAGCCGCTGCCGGCGCTTCTCCAGGGCCAGCCGCCGCTTCTCCTCGATGGCTCGAAGCACCTCCTGGGGCACCTCTGGGGTTGGCTCCTGGGAGGTTTCCTGCAATTTCAGATAAAGCTTCAAATGACTGGCAACTGTGATCACCAAGATTATGGTGCCTGGAACGCGTCTCCAGCTGACTTGTTTAGCGTCCTATTTCCAGACCAGAAAGAGTTCTTCGGTCGTCAATCGAGAGAGCCGTAAATGTCACTGCTGGGAGATAGTCCGACTGTAAAGCAGCCGTTTCTGGACACAAAACGAACAAACAAGGACAAAACAACGTTCCAAGGTGGTCGGACAAGAGCAACACTCACACTCGTGGAGGTGTGTACCGGAAACTGGGGCGAGGGCGGCCGTTCCGTCTCGCCGTCGTCTGCTGCCGAGTCCCGGGGGCCGTCCAGCAGCGAGGAGAAGGGGTCCTCTCGGACCTCCTCGGGAGCGGCGTCGTCTGCATCTTGCGCAGTCTCCACCAGGGGGACTCCGTCCTCCAGACCCAAGCGCAGCCTCCGCAGGTACACCTAGCCAAGACACCGTTGTTGGCGAGGAGGACGATGATTAGGGGTTCAGTGGCACAGCGGCAATGAAGGCTATTGTGCATTAAGCTAAGCGTATTTAGAGCATGCTAGGTAAAACAAGAACTAATCCAAGACTGCAAAGTTATAACTGGTGTAAATATCCAGTTTGTTTAAGAAAGTATGAAGCACGGTTGAACGTAACTAGAGGTTCATCGTAAAGCAAAAAAATAGGGGTGAAATGGGAGGTGACCTCTCAAAAGTTCCGGCAAATGTGATTGACGTAGTAGATGATCACATGTACAATGCCATAAAATGTGTAAAATGGTCAAAAGCTCTCTGGAATGGTCACATAGTGTAACCCAGGGGTCTCAAACTCATTTGAGTGCAGGGGCCGGAAGGCCCACCCCCGAAAAGTCGAGGGCCATCCTACGAAAAGGCGGGGAATTGCGAGGATGAACCTTACGCCCTTTTTTTTTTGGTCTTTTTGTAAACTCATTGTTTGGTCATTGACATCTTCATGTTTGATTTGTTTATATGACTACTTTTTGGCCCTTGCCTGATGTGATAGCAAGGATTAAAATGGTACCGCTCCTACGAGAGCAAGCCCACTGTCGTTTCTGTTCACCAATTAACTCGGGAATTATTTAAGCGCAACATTTCTTGAAAAAGGAGGAAATCTCTTTATATGACAGTTTTTGGTTTCCTGAGGATTCTTGGTAGCAGCAGTCTAAAAAAATACTTGTAGTTGAATGCCAATTTTATGTGAAGGCGAAAATCTCAAGTTCTTAGCTTTATCTTTGGCAGTTCCTCTGCTGAGCGAGAGTTTGTGCAGCCGATGTGTGTCCTTGAGCGAAGTGGTCGCGTTTGCAGCCTAAAAGCGAAATTGCAGTACAGGCGACTAACATGACGAAAATTGTGGAAGCCAAAATTAAAAGGAGAGACAAGGCAAATGAAAACAGAATAGCAACTATGTAATTACGTTATAAAAGCAGAGCTATGTTTCGAGCGGAAATAAATCGGCAACATAAGATCATTATAGCGCATGCTATTTCCAGCCTCCAGGCATGGGAACAAGGGCTTGCAGTGGATTGCCTGTGGGCCAGCGAGTCACGAGTTTGAGACCCCTGGTGTAACATTTCATCATGAAGCAGATACTGAACTGTCAGGTGCGAATGACCTATTCTCAGACGGCACAGGAGAACCTTTGTGCGACGTTTCCTGCCCAAATCCTCGAACATTCTTGAAAATATGGAGTTTGTTGTTGCTCTCTTTATCCCATTCTAGCTGCCATGCATGAAAAATAGATTTCTTCAAAAGTGGTTTAAGATCCTTTATTAACCCCTTAACTGTTTTGGGTGAGCCTAGCTCATCATTGTGGAGCTGTCCCCAAACCGTTCAGAGCTTGTCTGCTTTCCCAGTTCATGCACTCAACCGTTTTGGATGAACCAGGCTTGCTCAAGCTTAGTTTGAGGCTCTGCCAAAAGGTGACAGCACTACATTTATTTAAAATTTTGCTCCCATTCTGTTTGTGGCTAGAAACTTGATTTTGAAGGCAACAGTTGGGGGTCAGAAATTCCCCAAAACTAAAAACGGTTAAGTCATTAATGAGTCTCGAGCAGATACAGACAATTTTATACGCCTCTTCATTCGTTGCCCACAATTCCAATGCGACTCGGCACTCAGCAAGTATCCTGACCACATCGGAGGGCCCTATTGATTTGAACATGCAGATGTTGTGCAAGAAGGTTCTTTTTAGGTATTGGAGAAGACACAGCCAGTAAGGCACCTTGTGAATCAACAAAAATAAGAGCTTCGTTATATTGTTGTCAAGTGTATGTTGCACAGATAACATACCATAAAGCTCTGCAGTAAAAATGCTTGCACTACAGTCAACTTGTATGGCTTTCCTGTATGAAGTAGAATACAGAGCACATCCTACAAAAGACAGCGACTTGGACCTATCTGTACAAAACTCTCCCAGTAGTCTGTATATTTTTGTTGCAGAAAGAGAAACTTCTGCTGGAGGGTTTGTTGTGAGGTCACCCTCTTATTGTATTTTCTGAGTGACCAGTCACAGAAAACCGGCAAAGTATCCCAAGGAGCAATCCTATCGGTGTTCTTAAAGGGCCCCTGCAATCCGATTTAAGCGTCTACCTTTTTTGCGGTTTCCACATCTCTTGTGGTTCGGGCAACCCACCAGGCACGGAGAGAGTAACTAAATATCAGTGCGTCGTATTTTAACCGGACGACGCGGAAACCTCCTCCACCTACGAGGGTGCCCCATGGTACCGAACGCGCGTAGATTGTGACGTCATTGGTCCTGGCCTTATGACTGGTCAGAGCCGCTAAAAGCCTTTTCTTAGTCGAAATACAAAATATAAGTGGCACGACCCGTTTCAATTATTTTTGAAAGTAGTTTTTGTTTAGTATTTTAGATCAGAAAAGAAACAAATGCAGTCTATAAAGTATGGAAACAAGAAATGACCCGTCGACATACCCACCACCAAGCGGTGGAAAATGCGGTGCATACTAGAAAGGGGTAGTGGGATCAGGTGCCGACGAGCGGCGGGCATAGAAAGGTCCCGGAAGTATGCGGCGGTGCTGCGGTCGTATGGGCTCGAGGATCCGACCGGTTCCGAAGGCCTTTGGCGAGCAGGTTTGGCTTGCGGTTTGGCAGCATGAAGTGATCTTTACCCAGCGTTTGCTGTCGTTTGCGGCCAATGAAGTGTCATGCCGAATTAGTGTTCAGTCGTGCAGCAAATGCAATGCAAACCGCCCGGCCGCCCACTTTATCCAGCCTATCCAGCACAAGCTTTAGTGGCGCCCTCTCGAGCCATCGACACAGTGTGGCAGCCGTGAGTGCTTGCTGAGCTCATTACCCCTCCTCTAGTTCACAAACAATCAAGCCAGGACAAGGACGTCATGAAGGAGGTTATTTTTTTTTTGTTTCTGTAATTTTAATTTGCCTATAACTTTTCAAATAAAGCAAAATTCGAGAAAAGAAAAGTTTCACCAAGTTACTACGTTCAGTGCGCTAGTAAAACCAGTAAAAAGTCGTTGCAGGGCCCCTTTAAGCAAGGCAACCTCATAAAGGGGATATTAAGAAATTGACAAATACCTTGAAGACCGACACTTAGAAAGAGACACTGCTCTCCAAGGTAAAAAGTAAAAAAAAACAACAACACATGTTTGAAATTGTGTTCTTGAAGATTGATAGGCATTTATCTCATCCCAAAGTATTTCTTGTGAAATCTCTCTTATCTTTAAACACTGACTTGAAAACAAAGTAAAATAAGTCTATGCATGCTTTTTTGCTAATATATCAGAATAAACAATTTACACACTTTGCAATTTAATGAAAGCAATATCTTCATTTGCATGTATCCAATCTTCTGAATTCATTTTTTCTCTGGTAGGTGTATGTGCATGGTATTTAATAAGATATACATATATGTGTCTGACCTTCATGACGTCGTAAATGCTGTCACAATCCGTTTCCCTGACGTCCCAGTCTTACTGTTAGGAGACTTTAATTATCCGAACATTACGTGGTCAAACGACGGCCCCTGTTTAAGTACGTTTTCCACAGAATCCAATGACTTCATAAATCTGTGCGCCGATTTTAACTTCACTCAGGTTGTTGCGCAGCCTACTCGGGTTACTTGTTCTTCGGCCACGGTGCTGGACCTCGTGCTGACGACGTCACGCGAGCTTATATCGTCTCTCACGTACCTACCTGGTCTCAGTGATCATTCATTGCTCCACTTTGATTTTGTTGTTCCGGTGTGTCGCTCTCCAGTGCAAGTAAAACGGATATCTGACTATGCCCGAGCGGATTTTGGAGCTATTAATCATGAATTGGGTACTTTTTTAAGCGATTATCTGCGTAATTTTTCTGAGCGTTCGGTTGAGGATAATTGGATGTTGTTCAAAGAAAAAGTTGCCTCCCTTACAAATAGATATATACCTGTACGAACTGTACGTAATTACACTCACTCCCCATGGTTCAACCAGACGCTCAGAAGGCTCTCAAATAGGAAAAAAAGAATGTTTCGTGCTGCAAAGTTATCCGTGTTTCCCAATGCAGAGCATCGTTGGGCAGCATATTATTCTGCTGCAGCAGTGTATAAGACGTCTATTGCCGAAGCCAAGCGCAGTTTCTTCGAATGTACCCTACCCACTATGTTGCGCAACAACCCTCAACAATTTTGGAACGTCGTAAACCCTTCTGAGAGGCTTGACGTAGTGCTGAACAACGAGGATGATGAGACGATAGCGGCGAATGAGTGTGCAGCTGTGCTAAACGAATTATTCACAAAATCATTTTCGAATGTAACCACTAATTCCTATCCGGATGTTTATGAATACAATATTTGTGCTATGAATTCCATTGATATAGAATGTGCCGGTATAGTGAAAGTCATCGCCAACCTTAAACTATCGTCATCGTGTGGAATTGATAATATTAACTCGAAGTTTCTCAAAAACACTACTATGTATTCCTCTATTATCTTAACAAAGCTATTTCGGCAATCACTCGAACTCGGAAGCCTTCCCGAGGACTGGAGGGTGGGGAAGGTGATTCCTATCCATAAAGGTGGTGACAAATCCAGCCCAAGTAATTATCGCCCAATTTCCTTAACAAGTGTCCCTTGCAAAATTTTAGAGCACATAATCTATTCGCATCTCGTTAATTTTCTTAATTCCCATACATTCTTTTCTCCTGCTCAACATGGCTTTAGAAAACTGTTCTCATGCGAAACTCAGCTATTAACACTTACGCATAACCTTCACGCTTGCCTCGATCGTTCATCTCAGGTTGACTGCATTTTTTTAGATCTCTCTAAGGCATTTGACAAGGTTTCACATAGGCTCCTTTTGTATAAACTCAGTAAGCTGAACATTGACTCTCATGTTTTGACTTGGATCAACGCCTTTTTAACTAACCGTTCTCAATTTGTTCATGTTAATGGCATTAACTCGCACCCCTCTCCTGTGACTTC